GGCCAGCGTCATCAACCGCTCGCCCCCGCGCCTGCTCCGCGAGATCATCCTGGTGGACGACGCCAGCGAGAGAGGTGGGGCTGCATGGGATGCCCATTTCGTGCCCCAAAAGGCACAGTGGGACTGCTCAGAGACAATCTTTGGGTCTTTAAGCAGTGAGGGATTTATTTCAGGTGATGCCCATTTTGCGCCCCAAAAGGCACGGTGGAACCGCTCAATCTTTGGGTCTTTAAGCAGCGAGGGATTTATTGCAGGTGATGCCCATTTTGTGCCCCAAAAGGCGTGGTGGGACCGCTCAGAGACAATCTTTGGGTCTTTAAGCAGCGAGGGATTTATTGCAGGTGATGCCTGATAGGACCTGAGGGAAAAAAAAACCCTCCGGAGCAGTTAATTGGAGATGAGATAAGAAAAGGGTTTAATCTGTGCCCAGGCATAGAGATCTCAAGGCCGTGTTCAGGTGTTACAATTTATAACACTGCCCCACCAATCCAAGTTTTGTCCATCCCGTAGCTTTTGCCCTGGTCCATCCCTTGGGAATTGGGTCTGGGGGCTTTTCTTCATCATCTTCATCTTCTTCAGAGCACAAAGGGTACACGGTCACCCAGTTCTTGACTGTGTTCTGTGGTTCAGGCCAAGATATGAGTGTTCTCTAAACAGCATAGGCCTTGCCTTGACAAAAGACTAAACACTTTCTACTGGAATTCAGGGCTGGAATTGATGTGGGGAACATAGAATGGGGTGATGGGGCAGGGAATGTGTAAACTATTGTGCTAAAGGGTAAGTGAATAAGGGCTGCTGCTTCTAAAATCTACTTCTACTTATATAACTACCTATACAGCTTATAAAATCAGGAAAATCAAAAAACTAAAAGGGTCTTAAGGCATCACAGGCAACGTTGGGGAACTCCCAGCTCATGCTGGACAAAGAGTTCTGAAGTAATCAGTGAGGAGTTAGACTATTTATACAATTTTTGCGAGAGATTACGTTGTCTTTACATGCATATTCATATTATTGCAACATCTAGTTATAATATTCATAGCAGGTGGAGTTAGGGTGGGGTCAGGGGCGGGGTCATCATTTTGGGGAGAATCTCGTGGTACTTCCTGTTACTTTGGCCTCAGGGGTCGCCTTTTTGCTCTTCTCCCTCAGGTAAACTCTTGAACTTCCCTTAGTTTTGCTGACTCCAACATGTATTTGGCAGGAGTTTCTGGTCTCTGGCCCTTCTCTTTCCCCTTATCTCTCCATGTTCCTTCCTTTTGTCTATTTATGTATGTGTGTTCCATACATTTTTGGTGCTCCTTATTCCCCTGTGCTCTTACTTTTTATTCTTTTGTGTCAGTGTGTCAGCATTCTTCGGTAAAGTGTTATCTTCTGCTGGTCCTTGAGTGATGGTTCTTTAATTTTTTGCTCAGAGCCTGCATTCTGACTTAACTCTTCAGGCCTTGCTCTGTCTCATGGGACACAGCAATTCCCACCCCAGGGCTTCTCTCAGTGCAGTCTGAGGGTCCCCTCCTGAGCAGGGGGGTGGAGGGTGGCTGGGGGTTGGTGCTGCTCAGGTTTTGGCCTTTCTTGGGGTTTTTTTTTGAATGTGCTTCCAGTTTTTTATCATGTTCAGTAGCTGTGGCTGCCCCGTCCCTGGAAACATCCAAGGGCAGGTTGGACAGGGCTTGGAGCAACCTGGGCTAGTGGAAGGTGTCCCTGCCCATGGACAGATGAGCTTTAAGGTCCCCTCCAACCCAGACCTTTCCATGATTCCATGCAATGATCAGAAGCAGAAGTGTGGGCAGAGGTGGAGATGCTGACAGGGAGTGACAGGGGGGTACAGGTGGGTTGTCAGGGTGTAACTCATAAAATCCCAGACTGGTTTGGGTTGGAAGAGATGTTTAAAAGTCATCCAGTCCAGCAGGGACACCTTCCACCAGCCCAGGTTGGTCTGACCTGGCCTTGGACACTTCCAGGGATCCAGGGGCAGCCACAGCTTCTCTGGACAACCTGTGCTAGGGCCTCCCCACCCTCCCAGCCAGGAATTCCTTCCCAATATCCCATCTAACCCTGCCCTTGTCAGTTTAAAGCCATTCCCTGTGTCCTGTCCCTCCATCCCTTGTCCCCAGTCCCTCTCCAGCCCCTTTAGGCCCTGGAAGGGGCTCTGAGGTTGTATCCAGAATTCCATCAGTGCTTTTTTTGCCCTGCAGTTTAATGTTTCACGTTCCTCTAAAGGTCAGTCCTTTTCCACATCTCTCCCTGTCTCTCCACCTCCTCATTCTGTGATTCAGATTTTCCTGAATTTCCACACTGAGCCAATTTCATGGAATCCCAGGATGGTTTGGGTTGGAAGGGACCTTAAAGACCATCTCATTCCAACCCCTGCCTGTACTGCTCCTATTTGAGGTTCATTTCTTTTGCTCTTGGTTTCTTTTTTTCCCTGTTCTTTTTTTAAACTCAGGCTTTAGAAAGAAAAGTGTCTCCATGTGAAACTCATATTACCTGCAAAAGGAATCACACGACATTCTTTAAATGGAGTCAATGGAATGATAAATTATCCTGGAGTAGCCAAATGTGCCTAATGGCAAATACAACCTGGAGCTGCAGCTGCTCCAGGGACAGAGGATGCAGCGACTCCGTCCTTTAGTTCTGCCTCATGGAGCATTAACTTAACTCTAATTACTCTCCTGCATTTCCCTGTTCATTAAGTGGCTTAATGGTTCTCTGTTCCAGAAGGTGGAGGAAGATTTTAGCCAAGTAACTCCAGTTTTTCCTAAGAGGAGCTGAAGAGCTCAAATGTTTAAATTCATCCAAAACGGCCCTTTTTGGATCAAACCGCTGGCAAATTGGCCAAAGGGTCTTTGTTTTGCACTCACTCTTTGCTGGCTTATTTCAGGAAATAATTGATTGTGATTTATTTAAAATTCCTGTGATTTTATCAGAGAACCCGAGAATGGGTTGGGTTGGGTTGGGTTGGAAGGGACCTTATCTTGTCCCAACCCCCCTGAGTTTCTCCAACAAGCGGGGGGGGCAGTTGTGTGTCCTTTGGAGTCTCCAACAGCTGAACCTCTCTAAACCCCACATTTTCTCTCTGTTTCCTCCCCCAATTCTGTTTGGCAGAGTTTCTGAAGGCCTCCTTGGAGAACTACGTGA